CCCCCCCCCCCCCCCCTCAAAATTCAATTCTCCGCTGGAGAACGTTTTCGTGAGCCTCTCATGATTTCAGGATAGTTGAAACCCTCTTGCCCTCTTGAACATTCAGAAAGAGTGCATATGAAATTCGAATTACGAAATGTGTTCTCGTTAAAATACCATTCTCTCCTGGAGACCGTCTTCGTAAGCGTCTCTGTGTTCCCCGAAAGGATCGCAAGGTGTTACATACCTAGAGTTTATTTTCTTCTCTCCTGGGGCCTCTTAATTCAATTCTCTCCTGGAGCACGTCTTCGTGAGCCTCTCATGATTTCAGGATAGTTGCAACCCTCTTGAACATTCAGACAGAGTGCATATGAAATTCTAATCACGACAGGTGTTCCCCGAGGGGATACATACCTAGAGTTTGTTTTGTGAACCACGTCTATTCTCTTTTGGGGAACGTCTTCGTGAGTCTCTTCTGGTTTCAGAATAGTTTAAACCCTATGATGCTCCGATTCTATGCTCACCGATGATCTGAGCCATGGGGCGAGGTTGTTTCCCTAAGAACCTTTCTGAACATTTCGAGAGCATATGAGCAACGGCTTCTATTTGCGGTAGTGGTGATTGGTCTAGGGGCGTTCCTTTTCTATAGCCCAATGTCAGAGTTAGTTGGCGAAACGAGGTAGGAAACACCCCGAAAACGAGATGGGCATCAAATGCGCCATTTGTTTGCAATGGTTTGGTTACTGACATGTTTAGCTTGTGAAACGAGGTAGGAAGACCTCTCGAGAACGAGATGGGTTTCCACACACCAAAACGAAATACAGGCATGGAGACCGAGATCACACACCAAAAACGATGCGGGCTTGGAGACCGCTGCTGTGGCTCGAAGTATGCCACTCGCGTTCTCTTCTCTTCCCGCTGTCCTACCTTTCGTGTCTCCCTCCTCTCAAGTAGCGATGGCCTCCAACCTAGATGCCCTCCACCTAGCTTCTTGTTGCTAGTAGCGATGAGCAGTCAGAGGCGACTAATAGTTGATAGAAGATTCTGTACTCCTGCACTGGCAACCATAAACCTGTCTCATCCGGGGCCATGTGCGAAGACCGGGCGTTGATTGACAAAGTCCTGAATCAATAAAGCAATACATGTGGTCCTCAATAGCACAGACCATCGTGGCCCCCCCAACTCAATGTTGTGATGCAGGGTTTTAGTCCTTCAACTTTCTTTCGTTCTTTTCTGTTTGACGCATTCCCTCAACTCAATGTTAAAGAGGGAGCGCGAGGGTATACATGGGTTTGTTCTTCCAGTGGTGCGGGATTTTGTCGATCAAGCGCATTGCTATGTGTGTTCTTTGTCCGGCATTAAATCACTAGCCTTTGATTTGTTCCTTGTTTTGAAGTGTGATGCCCGCGCGCTTCCGGATTTTGCATGCTGCAAACGCACTTCAGAGGACGGAGGAGTCGGTGCGCTATCGCGCCAGCTTGGAAGAAGAAGTGCGACAGAAGGAGGAGCAAAAGCAACTCGAGCCGACAGGGCAGCCTCACAAGAACAGAGCTAATCCAAGTTTGCGACCGGACCCCGCCCCCGATTTCGCTCTCCGGACAGCATCAACTGGCAAAGGCTTTGGCAATTTGAGTGTGTTTTCAGTCTTCAGTGAGATTTGGCCGGATGGGCAACCAATGACCAAGCATGCACCCTGGAAGTACTTGGAAGTGGAATATGAGCAAGGGCCTTGTTCTGCACTCCAATGAGCAGTTCCCGATTTCCCCCTGGTTGGTAGAAGGGACGGAGTAGCCCTTGGGTATTGGCGATGTCAAGTATGAATTGTTTCTGCCAGTTCCATGGTTGTTTGGAGGATATATACAAACATATTTTGTTAATTAGTTCTATTTATTTGTGCATATATATATATATATGCGTGTGTGTGTGTTAATTACGCGTATACGTATAAGCTTTTGTGGACTTTGACCATGGCCGTGAGAGCAGGAGTTTTGGCAACTCCCCGCCAACGACCGAGGCAGCTGGCCACCACGTTGCAGGATCGTTGCAACTCGCTGATGCAACAAGTCGAGTGCCCCTCGGCTGCGGGTCATGAAAGGCCTCCGGTCTTCCCAGAGTCGGTGGCTCGCAAGGAGACCTTCCAGGTCAGGTAGGCAAGGGGCTGCGGGGGTTCAAGGGCCAAACATTGTGCAGCTTGAGGTGTTCTCTAAACTGTTTTAGATTTCAGTTTGGATCTACTGGACAGAAGTCCTGCTTCCCGCTCTTTGTCGCCCCCAGTCGTTGTGTCCATATTGAGGCCTTCGGAGCAGCTGTCAGACTCTCAGCACAGACTCTCAAGAGAAGGCAGGCTTGGAAGGCCAGGTGAATGAGCTCTTGCGGATGAATGCCCAGTGGTGCCTCGGATTTCGCTTTTCGCTGGAAACACCGCAGGTAGTGAGTTTGTGCCGAAAAGCCCAATCTGCCCAGGGGCCTACGGGGCCTAGGTGGAGGTCTAAAAAGGCGGAGATGGGGCCCTTGTCAGGGCCTGTAAGGGAAGAATTAGGAACACCGAAAATGGAGAGGTTCGAGGGATTGAGGCACGAGGCCGGAATTACTGGCATCTATATTGCGACAATCAACGTGAGCAGAGCAATCGGTCATTTCATGTCATCTCCTGTGTTTGTGGGCTTCCTGCTTCGAGATGTTCCAGTATCCGAGATCCTTATTCGCATGCAGCCGGTCATAGATGTACTGTTAAGAGTTTCTGTTGAACTCAGGCAGCAAGCGCATCAAAGCCTCAATGCTGAGTCCGAGAATCTGCGGCAGAGGCTCATGGAGGTGGATCAACTGCAGCTCAGCAGCCAGCGAGCAAGCGGGCCCCCAACTGGCCGGTATTGGTAGGAAGTTCTGATCGTGAGCGGTGGTTTTTTGACCACGTGCGAGTTCAGAACATGTGCTGTAGTTACCGGACACTCCATGTATGCATATGTATGCCTAATATATGCCTACATTGACCCCTCAAACCACCCCAATGTAGACAAATCTATGGCATACATGGAGTATCTGGGGTTGATCAATGTTGATCATTTCCATCCCGAGATTTTTGAACCATGAAAGAAATTTCATGGTCACGCTTGATGGGAGGTGCCCGCAGATAATTGATGTACGAGGGCTGGCGATGTTGTTTTGCCTAAGAGCTAGCTCAACCGGTCGAACCAGTGGGATCGAACAGTGCTTGACTAGCTGATCCGGTCACACCGAAGCTGCACCTGGTTTGGGCCGCGCGCATGGAACCGCGCATGGAACCACTCCGGAGCCCCCCCCAGGAAGATCGAAGTTCGACGGCTGCAGCCCATGGAAGAGGCCGCGCGTGAGATGGAGCTACGACTCCAGGACACCGAGCAAAGTGGCCCGATTCCTCCGTGGGGGTTCTACCCGGAGCAGTGGAGTGGTCGATTTGGGAGTTTTTGGAGGGGAGCTATGAGTGGTCGGTTTGGCGGGCGCATGATGTTTTGACGGTCCATTGTGCTTGACGATGGAGAAGGCTAGACTGGTATGACATCTCTTGGTTTCCAAGGTGTTTTTTGAGACAGATGTTTCCCAGTGAGTTAATTGACCCTGCGCTTGCTGGTCTTGCAGTTGGACTCTCAGTTATGAATTCACGCTATACCCTGATGGATGTTTTTCAACTCTTACTTGTCTTATGTCTTAAGATGTCTTAAGTACTTAAAGAGCGGGTCTTATATAACTGAGTTTCAGTATGTTTCAGTGTTGCAATGAGTTTAAGTCTTATATTATATTAGTGAGTTCCATGGCCAAGTCACCTCCAAGGTCTCGAGCAGCACCGCGACGCGCTCATCGAGGCGCAGCAGCTGCGGAACCATGACAGCGGTTCCCTGCAGCGTTTGCAACTGGAGCTTGAGTCCCTACAAGAGACCCTTCGCACAAACAGTGTGTGCCTAATATAGCCCAGACACTCCATGTAAATGCCATTTTGTGCCTACATGTTGATGGTTTTGGGGGTCAATGTAGGCACATATTTCATATACATGGAATGTTTGGGTAGAGAATTGTTGTCCATGCGATAGATTCGACTTTCGGAGACTGACAGGTTCAGACCACCGGCGCTTAGGAAGCCCAACTCAGAGATTCGGGGGCCCCACGCTCGAGGGGTTGAACACGGGACATATTAATTACTAACCTTGGTTTCCAGATGCTGCAATCATCGAGATCCAAACGCCGAGTGCCATCCATCCACGAACTGGACACGTGTGTCGGACACGAAGTGGACGAGAAAATGGACCGGTCCACTCACGGGACTTCTTGACTGAAAAAGACCGAGGAGTCAAGCTTCACAAGTGGGCGAGTTAGAAGCCGAGCTCATGGAGGCAAGACACGAGCGTGCTTCACTGCAGCGGGAGAAGGAGGATCTTCAGCGACGCATGGAGGACGAGGGAACGGGAGGTCCACTGTTTGGTTGGGATCCTGAAAGGAGCTTGCAGACATGAGCTTTGAAAAGACATGGATTTGGGTTGGTTCGAGCCATGTGGCTTGTTCAAGCTTTTTGTTATCCCCGATTGAGTCATGTGAAACGATGCAGCAGGAGCTCCTGCAGAAACAGCAGGAGAACTCTCAAGCGGCAGAGGATGGAAAGAGCATACGCCAAGAGAAGCTTTGGTCGGAGTACTGGAATGTAGCGGAAGCCCTGAGATCTTTTTTAGGATGAAGTAGGTCATGGCCATGGCAGACATTTGTCATGATGTTTCATGCATTCTCCAGGTGCCGCAGTTCGCATCGCATTTTCGAGGGGCTTTCAACACCTGGAGGGTTTGCCCATATTTGTCTCGTCTGGAATGCTGCTCCAAACCTAATATGCTCCGAGTGTCACACCCGTTACGACCGCTTTCTCTAGGAACGAGAAGCTCCGAGAAGAGCTACAGATGGCGCAGGAAGAGCAGCAAAAGCTCAATGGAGTGGTCGAGCGATGTTTGGCCAAGATGGAGGTGGATAGTCGGGAGCGACCCTTCCTTGCAGCTTGGATAGGAACGTGCGTTCGCTTGGTGTTGGAAAGGTGGTCCCGCTCCAAAAGGAAACAGACAGCATTGGACAACAATTTGTACTTAATGAGTGAGTTCTCAAGCACTGTACTATTGCTGTTGCTCCTGCTTCCAGTCCTGTTTCTATTTCCTCCTGGCGCATGGCAAGTGCAGGTCATCCAGGCAGGGACCCTGTGTCCCTCCATCCCAGGGACATCAGCGAGAACCTCCACCGGTTTCTTCAGGTCGACAAGCGGATGGTCACCCAGATGTTGGCGGCCTATTTGGAGCAGCGGGATCATCCGGGGCCGCAGCAGGAGATTATGGCGAAGATGGCCGAAGCTTGGACGCAAACGCGGCGCATGGCAGGCTGTCCTGGCCGCCTGGAAACGAGCTGGGACACACGGAACAGAACCTCTTATATTATATATATACACGTTATTTTCAAGAAGACCATGAGTGCACGCAACACTTTGTCTGTTTTGATGTGCGTAATTACCAGCGTCAAGTCTATCGTCGCGGTAACTCCTCTTTTGATGAGGGCCAGATTTTGTTGCTCTTTAGAAATTTGCTTTGCTGTTGCTGATGGGTTCTGAAAAGTGGCATGCCACCAGAAATCTTTTCGACCTCGGAACTGGATTTTGGATGATTTTTGGATGTTCTTTTTTCTTCTGTAGCACCACACCTCAAATCAATCTCTGATTTTTCTCATTTTTTCTAGACACGGTGTACCAGGTGAACGCGTACAGCTGCACGGATAGATGCGTGCAAGCGTAGAATATTCTAGAATGTCCAGCCTCCCAGAAAAGGCTAGATCCGGCGTATTTAGTTGGCGTATCACAACATGAGGGAATCCCGCTCAGAACTTCGTTAGGATTGCACAAGGCTAACTAGTGCAACTGTGGACATGCGCTCCCATACAAAGCTTATGGTTCGACCTACTTGGGCACTTTCATACCTCAACACTTGAGCTTACAAAAGCATCAATTCTGCCGGGTTTGGGTCTTCTGAATGGATTTGTGTCAGGATTTGCTGGGCTTCAGTGTCTTGGCGAGAAAGGGGTTCGGATTTGTCGCTGGACGAGTCAGTGCGTGAGGAGGTAGTTCGAGTCGCCCTTTGTACACTCCGCATGTGAACACTTTCATTCACCCCCAAAACCTCACCTTGGGACCAGCAAAACAAGCATTTAGGTTGGAGGCCATCGCTCTTAAGTTGGGGGGGCATCATTCTTAGGGAGGCCAGTCCTATTTGGGGGCCATCGCTAAACAAGCCGGCAACATTTTGTATACATGAGTCGGCTGCTCGCAGGGTCTCCGTAGGTGCCACCGCTTGCACCCCGGTCCGGGCAGGTACCAGCGAGCGAGAGCAGGTCGGCCTCTCCCAGAAACGGAGTCTGGGACTGCCACGATCTCATTTTGCTTAAAGGCTTAGGAAGGACTACTTGTATGGTGTAGCCCAGCCTACTAGGCCACCGTACCGGTTAGGGTTCTGGTGCAGAATCTATGCTACTTGGTGGATTCTGAACTGGTTGGCCACTGGAATGGCAAATCCAAGGGGTTCAAGAGCACAAAGTGCTATTTGAAGATCAGAGGTGGCATGGTTCTTAGATCAAACTTCCACTGCAAGTACTAGTAGCCTGCCGGAAGCAAGAACACATCAATACACCACAACATGTTGCAGACTACATAACGGGACAAAACGTATCAAAAAGTGCATTTTCTCAAACGGTGCACTGACTGCTTGAACAAGATCGGCCCACTGCGGGGCCGGTGGTTGGGGTCAGTGATTGGGGGTTGGACATGGAGGGCGGGACAGAAAGTGTGGACTGCCCCCCCCTCGTGGAGATTCATGTGATGCTTCACCTGAGCGATCAGAACCCGTCAACGGATGGTTTAGGGTTGAGGGTTTAGGATGGTTTAGGTGATCGGTTATGATATGTTATAATTGTTTGGAGCGTATAAACGTTATTAGAATCAGTGGAGGTCTTCTACCAGCTGTCTTGAACCCCCCAAGGAAGGGCCCGATCGCTTCGGAAGAGCCTGCGAACCTCGCCGACTTGACCGATCGATTCGTGGATTTCTTGATGGAGGAACCGTGGGTGGATTCTGAAGGAATAATCATGTTCAGTGAGTCGATCAATCCTCTTTGCATGTCCAGTTGTTCTTTTGTTTTGCTATTTTTCAAAAGGTTGTTTGATCAAAGAGTTTTATAATGTCCTTTAGTCCTTTTTCATCGACCGATCTAATCCTGGCAGGAGTCCGAAGCGGGCTGAGAGAGGCACAGTCGCAGATTTCTGGGCACAGAACCTTTTGGCTTTCGTGCCGGCATCTTCCGCATGGGAGATGTACAATGCGCAATGCAAGGCTTTGTTTGATTTGCCAAGCCTTAGGCGTTCTGATTCTGCGGATGCGCAAATCAACTGCCAGAGAGTGCGGAGTACCCGGGAGCACCCTGGTCCCATCAGCAGAGGTTCCTTCGCTTTATGTCAGGGTTATCCAATGATCCAACGACATTCCTCTTAAAATGTAAAAACTGTACTTAAATTACTTAGAGTCTTGATTTCAATTTAACCCCCAGGAACAAGATGTTTTACCATGTTTTACCATCCATGTTTGGCGGGGGGGGTCATACTGGATCCCTTTTGCCAAACACTTTCACCAAACAGTGTTCCATTTCAACACATGTGGATCCCTCTAAGGTGGGTGCCTTCGAGTCCTTGCTAAAGCCTGGAGGTGCGGGACGGGTCGCCGGTCAAGAGCGAAGCTGAAACCATGAGCTGCCGGCTGGTGACGCCGGCGATTGGAGACTATTGGGTATACAACATTTGGATGTTTTGTAGATTGGTGTTTGTGATGTTTGTTATGATGTTATATCATTGAACCTTTGCCACCTTTGGCAACCATGATTGTTATATGAGGCCAAGTATGACCAAGGTGCTCTTTTTCTCAGTGCATGTGCTTGAGACCCTGGGCGGGCACATGACTCTGAGACAAGCATCATTCATGCTTGCGCCGCTGCATGCCACTGCGCTAGGCCCCGAGCTTTCAGTGGATGAGAGGCAAGGATGGACGATGAACACAGGTTTTTGCTGTGATGGCTTTGGTGGGATGCTCCAGTGGGCACCACAGATGGCGTCGATTCGACTGGGGCGAGTCGAGAAAAGCCCAATCAAAACAATACCTTTGCAAGGCGCCTGCCTTTCATGTTTGATCCAGGCAGGCCGAGCCCTTGGCCCTTGGACGCTCAGATAATCGGATACATTTCATGAACTCCTTCATCCCATGTGCTGATCTCTGACCTTCCGTTGAAACACTTCACACTTTGGGAGCTGTGAGTCTTCTGAAATGGCTTTGGGGCTTCACAGTGCAGACCGAGTCCGGAGTGTCTTGGCACCGCGTCCGGTGGACGTCCCAGGCGAACACTGGAAACGGCTTGCCGTGTGCACCAGCTTTCCAGTGTGGTGCCTGGCTGGCCCGGCTGCAGGGAGGTTTGGTTCAAGAAGAGAACATCCTGAAGCCGGTGTTGAAATCAAGCTTCAAGGACAAAGGTAGTTGGGTTATAAGGTAGTTCATGTGTGGAACTCCTAAAAGCCGATTGTGTCGCCCCTGGGATGTGCATGTTTCTTGTTTATTTGGCTTGAAACGGCCTTCTTGCTGTAATTTGAGCATAGCGTTTGCCTTGGGTTTGAAGGCCCGGCTTGCCGATACACTGACACATGACATCAAGACCCAGGCAGAACAAGACGTCAAAATATATCAACATACATCAGCCAGCATACAAACCTGAAGCTCCAAAAGTTTCGATCTTTAGCAGCAGCGCTGGCCAAACCAGCACCTCACCAGTTGCCCGGAGGGATGGTTTCTGACCATCCGACATATGGAAGATATCCTTGTGTTCTGATGACACTGAATCAAGCTAGTACAGTAATCAAGCTCTATGACGGTATGGCTCTTGTTCTGTGGATCCATGCAACGTCGTTGGCTCCGGGTCGCCCGGTCAGAGCTGCGCGGCCAAAGAGCTGCGCGGAAATCATGAAGGACCACGCGATCGGACCAACTGTCGTTTGGAAGGGGTCAACGTACCACAACTGATGGATGAAGATTTTTGATATTTTATCTTGCATGGTAGAGTGTTGTCCAGTTTGCGAGAGAGTGATCGAACTATAGAATGTAATAGTGGTAGAAAACACATGAAAAACGACTCTTTGCTAAAGCAGAGGTCCCCATCGGTTTCTATTCGCTTCTTTTTGTTTGAGCCTCGATTTCTCAACATGACGTGAACTCATCGCCGCGTGGTGCCATGGAGAGCTCGATGCTGCGTGCTTGGCATGGTGAGATCGGGAGAGGGGAAGATGGAGAGCACATGTACCTGAAACACAAAATTAACGGATTGACAGATTGGCAGCCAGAAGGCAGAAGGTTATTCAGATTCTTCAGGATTTATGGTTGGCAGATCTCAGATTGAGTTTGCGGCAGCTGACTTGCCATAACTTGCAGGTGACTTCCAGCAGCTGCAGCCATCCTCTGTGCTGGGAGTGCGCTGTGCGATGATGGCAGTGTGGCTTAGACGCAGCTGTTGTCTTTCCCTTGCTTCCAGCGGTTTCTAGCAGTGCACTTTGTTCCACCACGAACGTGGAACAGTAGACGAGCATTAGTAACCCTGAGGCCTCAGTATTGTCCTTTGTTCAGGGTCCTGTCACACTGGCACAGGAAAGCTTTGCTGGCGCAATTGTTTGACCTTGTTTGACCTCCGGTTTTTCTAGACCGGCTACTGGATCCTCCAGCATGGGGGAGAGGTCCCTGAGAAATGGCGAACCCGCGGGGAAACGAACATCATGACCTGCTGCTGTTTCGTCATGCTCCGCGGACCATTTAGAAGATCCCTTTTTCTAAGTGTTTTTGTGGTTATCCCTTCTGGATGAAGAACCTCATGGGATCCCGACCAGAGATGTAGAGATTGAGGTAACCCCACACTCAAGGCCCACCAAACCACTAATCCGGTCCACCTATTAAAAAACACGCCTCCCCCCCCAATAAGGAAACCTCGGTCGCATTTTTGTTAATAGGGGGTCCCGGAAATCGGGTTGGTCCAAAATAGGGTGGGCTTCAAAACCAAAAAGTCACCCGCAGGAAAATGTTATATAAATACACGTCTTTATTAAATTCATATCAAAAATTCAAAAACCTCCAGATCGAAGGGTCTTCCTTTTCCCCTACAAAATCCTTTATTAGAATAGTGATTCTTCATTGGACTAACAACTAAAGCTTTCGAAAGGTGATGTCGCTGTGCCATACGGTTTTGCGTGACCTCGGTGGAAAGTGCGTTTGCGTGAGTCCGCGCCATTGGGGGAAGGAAAGCCTGCTGGTGTAAACACGGCGTGTCATGGTGGATAGACAGGTGGACAGAGGTGGGCAGTTACGGTTGTTTTTGGAACCTAATTTTTAAGAATAAACTCCTCCAAAATCGGCCATGTTGGTGGTTTAGTAGCGGCTTGAAAGGGCGGTAATTTAACAACGAATATAAGCCGTATTTAGGGGGTTCCGACATGACTTTTTGTTAATAGGGGTCCGTTTTTAAGTAGGTACCTGGGATTACCTTGAAAACACATGTGCCTCGAAAGGACCTGAATCACAAACTTGCCATTTGAGATCGGGTGGTCTTTATCTAAGGGGACGTCCGTAAGGCCGCAAGGGACCCCATTTGCAATTGTGACTAAATCGAGAATAGATTACTGTAGATGATGGTGAGCATAAACAAAGTTGACAAAAGATAGAATTTGAAACGGTGTCAAAAACATGTATCATGTTTTAATATGTTTTTATCGAGCTTATTTTATACCCTACCCTAGGATTTCCAAGGGCCCTCTCAGTTTTTGGATTCATCATTTAGATTTAATTTCCTGAAGTTGTGCAAAAATTATGGGGGTTCCATGGTAAGAAGTTGTGCAAAATCACAGGTAAGATTAATTAACGCACCCGGGGGTGGATTCAGTATAGAAACGGGGTGGGGGAAGCAGAGAGTGCAGACAAAAGATCAACACAATGGATGGAAAGAACTTGACTACCTGTTGATTGTTTCTTGTTAGCACTCGAACCTGTTTGAGTATGTAGTATGGCTTGAATTTCTGAATCCAGCACTGGAGCAGGTTAGGATTGAACAGTTGAAGCACCCCGGACGGACCCCGAATTAGTAAAACTTATTAATCCGGGGTAGGGGGTAGTTCACCCCCCTTCAAGGTAGGAGGTATAATTTTTTCACAATATCAATTCCATGGGCAAAATCCTCTCCATGCATACCTGATCACCTTGGTATCCACCGCACCTCCCGCGAGGCTCCGGGAGTGCGCCTTGCAGTCCTTTGCCGAGCTGCTGACGTGGCACCAGGCTCAACAAGCGCGCCAGGCGCTGAAAGGCTGGCGCCATGGCGTGCCACGGCGGCCGGTCGAGGCGAAGGTGTCAAGACGGGTGTCGAGCGGAAATCGCCCTGAGGATCAGATGTACGCCCCATCTAGAGGATGCCGACCCTGAGAATTGGAGTCGTGGAAGACCACTTTCTGCGTACCAAGCCGGTGGTTTGGGAGTTCACATGTAAATCTGCAGGGGAGTATGATTCTTTGGATTTGAGGGGTGGATCTGCAGATATCTTTGGTAGGGCTGTGGGTTTTTGGCCCAGAGAAACACGTGGTGACCGTCCAATTTGGTCAACACCCTGCAGGTTTTGCACATGTGTGTAATTACCCTTTGTTCTTTGCATGTGGGGTATGGGGTATGCCCACGGCCCCTCTCAGACGTTGTCCGTGACCAACTGCCGCTTGGACACGGACACAGCATTTCCACCGAGTGGGTTTTATGGATTGAAACAAGATGGTGATGTTTGCGGATCTCAGTCATAGGAATATATCGGGAATGGATCCTTGTTTGGGGGGAGTGGATTCACTCATCATCAATCTACAATACAACTATATAATTACTATACACTCACGTAGACTCAACCGATGCCCCGGAAGGATGGTGTCTCGTACATCGTTTTCATTCAAGATTTATTCCAACCCCGCCCCAAAGAGTTTTGACATGGCGTGGGCGCACGTCCGTCGTCATAGCATCGCTGGACGGTGCATCTCCGTCGGTAGGGCTCAGGTGCGCCGATCTCATTGGCACCATGAGCATGCTCAATCGGCCGCGGAAGCCTCGCGCACCTCCGACCGGCACCTCGCCGGGGGTAGGTCCCGGATGGGGCGGGAGCGGGGTGTGTTTTTTCCCGAAGGCGATGAGGCACAGATACTCTGTTGGGTGAAAAACGGAGAATTCCGCAGGACATGGCAGGAAAAAGATGCCAACATTGGGACACCAACAGTCTTTCTTTGGCTCGAGCAATCTGAGTGCATTGGGTGGAATGCACAGAAAAGGACCGCCCACTGCGAATGTTGAGCCAGAGACCGCTGCACAAGCAGTTAGGGTGGGGGGACACCATGCAGAAGTCCAGGTCCCCTGCTGGTAAGAGCTGGTCCCACGTGCTTCCCACTTAGGCTGGCAGAGAAGCATGAGATGGAGGTGGCTAAGGTCCGTGCAGAGTGGAAGAAGAAGCGGCAGGTGGGGAGAGCAAATTCTGTTGGTTTGGATTTGGAAGGGTTGGTTTTGATCCTTGATGGGCTTGATGACGTGTCCATCAAGCCCGGTTTTGGTGAAGGACATGTCCGAAAGGAGTGAGTTCTTTGCTATGAACTTGAATTCAGAAGAGACAGAAGTCGCTTCGCGTGCAAAAACTCAGGGTTCTAAAGTATAGAATATATGTTTGTGATTTATTATTGTTTATGTATGTGTGTAAGTGTAATTTGTGTAATATGCTATAGGCTATATAGCACTAGTCTCACACATTTTGTGCATGTTCTGAACATCTGGAATCTAGGACAATTCAGGGATTCAAGAAAATCACGGCAGCCAGCTTGGACCAGTTGGAACCTTTGTTTACCTGTGTGTTCTCACTGGTTGCCTTGTTGCAGGCCATGATGAATGAGTGAACGCCTCAGAAGCGACGTGAAACCACCGCGATAAACAGGTCCGCTCGGAGACTTCGTGAGCTAATCCATATACTGTATATATGTATATATATATATATATATCACACATATATAAATATATACATATATGTATACTGAATTATATATTCATAGAGGGCACCAAAACAGTTGAACCCCAAATTCGTCACACTGTGTGGTGTTTACTAATTGTTGCTAAAAGTCACCGTGCCCCGTTTTGTTTCCATCCGCTTGGTGAAAACGAACTGATCTTGCAGCTTTCCTCGGACTTTGGGTGCTTGGCTATGTCTCGTGTTCAGCGCTCTCTCGCCTGGGCTGGGATGGATGTTCCGGAAAGGCAGAGCCACCGAGCGAGCTGAACTGCAGGAAAGGCTCGCACCTCAGCGAAGATGAGCTTCAGGAGCTTCGTGAGTTGGACAAGAGCTATCGCCGCTTTGAGACCCAACGGGGGCGATTGGACCAGGGGAGCCGGTGGAGTTTCTGGTTCTCACAAGGGCCCGTCAATGGATATGAAGGGTATACTGTACACGGATGTTGTTTCTTATCTAATGAGCCTGATCAATTGAAGATTTCTGGACTGTCAACGCATGAACCTGCAAAAGAACTCGTGTCATGCTTGGACCCTTGCGACCAATTGCATGCAAGAATTTGACTGGCAAACCCTGCACCGACTGACTCGGTCACAGGGGAGTACATCGTTTGTTCTTTTGCTGCCAGAGCGGCAGACGACGGCAGGTGTCAAGTCATGTCGGTCTATGGACTAAGGTTTCAGACCGGTGGCTTCCTGACTTTTTTTGTCGTTACTTACTCAAGATGCCTTATTTACTGCAATTGATTTTAATGTTGGATTCTGGTTGGCAGGATTGAGCGGAATGTTGATCGTGTGCTCACACCCTGTTCGTTTGTGTGTGGGTGGACCTGTGAAAGACGTACCGATGTTTAGATCAGTTTTTTTTTGGAAATATATAACCCCATATTATTGATATTTATTGGTTTGATTTTGACATCCTGAGAGACGGGGCTGATTCCTGATTCCTTTCAATTTAGGTACCAGTTCGGCATCATTGTGAATCATTTATCATAAAAAGCTTTGTCCCAAACGTTCCCAAGCTATTTTCCAGGTAGGTGTCCACAAGCTTTAGACAGGAATTCCTCCACCATTCTGTGGCTCTAGCTGTAGAACAAAAAGCCACACAGGGATCGAAATGGGATCGAAAATTAACACGTTCACATTCTCCAGGGGAGATTCAAGGTCCATTTTCATGCCCAAGGTTGACATTTATTGATGGGCATTGTTCATATGCCTTTGCCTTACCATCGCGTAGACTGAACCTCAGGAAAGCAGATGACGGAGATGCACGACTCGCACGACGAGCTTCAGGGTGTCTTTTGTCCTGTGAGTGGCCAGCTAACCCGCACGAACAAACACGATCTCCCCAACATGACAGGCTTGTCAAGGACAACAGTTGTTCAAGGGGATTTTTGTTCTGCTGCACTATGCTTGCAACAACTTGTACATGGTGCGAAGTCCAAGTCTGCAGTTGTGTCATGGGTTATGTCCTTATTCTTCCAAGGGCTCACGTCCGGAGTCGCACGACGCGGGGTGAACTCCTTGACCCAGATACAGATTGCTCCGGGATGGGAAGATGATTCTTTCGCCCACCACGTAGCCCCCAGTTTCCACTCTTGATGGCTTGTAGATGGATGCCCAATGCGTGTGGTTTAAATATATATATATATTGGTAATAATGTGTAATTATCATCACATTTAAAACAAACATATATACACATTATGTTTACTCTTCAATCTTGCGTGATTTCTTTGATTACCTTCACAACAACAACAACACCACAACAACAACTACTACTACTACTACTACCAGCTTCCTCTCCATTTGTGTTCTATAAGTTTAGCTGTAACGTTGTGTTTTCCATCAGCTTCGCATTTCTACTGAGTGCCATGCCGTGTTTTGTTTCTCGGCTTGTGTCCCCGGCTCTAAAGTCTAAGGCACATCGCTCGGCACATGAAGAGGTGCGCGACTCGCTTTGTGAGAGGCGGTGTTGCTTTAGGCAAGTTGTGCGACTCCGACTCAGACTGTATCGTCTAAATATAGATGCCATGAACACATGAGCAGGGGTTAGGCAAGTAATTTTATGCAGGTGAACCGGTGAACCAGCGGTTGCCAGGTCACAAGACTGACAATCATGCTGGACGACTGATTTTGTACGATATTGTCAGTCTTTGAGTTGCAAGTTGCTAAGCGGCAAGTTGTAGCCCTGTTGGAAGGTATATATTCCCAGAAGGCCCCTGAATGAACTCATGGCCAGCATTTGCCACCGCAGGCACGGAAGAAATCGACGAGGAACATCAAGGCAGCTGCCGTGTGCGGAAGGAAATCGATCTGGCAGTCAGGCTGAACCTCAAACTGGCAGGACAGGTCAAATCGGTCAAGACATGTCAAAACCATTGACATGGCCGCTATGTTGACATCTTGCTTCACTTTTATTTTGTTGCTCATCATCGGGTCGTAGGGTCGTAGGGGTCTTGACCTTCCTTGACCTTCGACCCACAACGACTTCACCAGGTCGACCTTCGGTCGGGAAATCACCAGGTCTTTAGCTGTTTGGCCGTGACCCGTTCAAAAAAGAAGATGGAGGTAACAGTTTAACGTTGACTGTTATGAAATCATTTTGGTGGTAGAGGGCTCCAGGTGCTTCTCTCAACGCGTTCACCGAAGCAGCTGCACATCCGGTTGCTGCATGCAAATCTTGCAGACGAGATGAAAGCATAGAAGCAAGGAAGGTATAATCAACTTGGAAAACCTAATAAGCTGATATAGGCGGCTGGGTGTGTATAGTGTAACCAATCACCGTAATTTGCTGCAAACCGCGGGCAGGTCCCACCCTGCTACAGCTACAACAGCTTCAGTTCACATTTTCTATGAAGGGTTGACGCCAGCTGTTGTTTTGACATACGAGAGACGATGGTTTTTTAGCTACTCAGGTACAGTACTCTCAACTTTCACCCAGGTCTTGAAGACACATTTCGTTTGGTTGAAGTGATGAAAAAACCCATGATGCCGTTTCTTTCTCGGTGATTTTTACAAGTCCTGTGAGAATGCCACAAGTCAAGTCATGCCGTTATGTGTTCAACCTGCTGTGAAAATACGGAAAGCTGCACAAAGAACTCGTGAAATGCAATTATGCAACTGCATCGGAGTGCAATACGTGCTAGAAGTGCAACTTGGGGCCTGCTATTGTCCATGTTTACGTTGTTCTTCTCCACCTTTTTTGACATGATTCACTTGGTCATAGTACTTTTGCCGCAAATGCTCTACAAGTCAGCATGTTTGTTATGGATTTAAAATTAGCACGCTTCGCAAGAAAGGTGATACAGATTTGCAAACAAAGTGTGAAGAACATACGATGCCAAGTGAAAAAGAAAACAAACAACAGATGATCACACATGGTTTTAAACGTTTTGTTTGGCATGCACTGTCAGCACTGTGTCCAGAACATGATTTGTGTCGCAGTAAAGCGTGAACGAGCATAGCACCGATCAGGTTTTGCATTGCTGCTTTACCTGTTGAACCTGCGCTCAACTACGTTCCAGACACATTCGCAAGGCGACAAACACGATAACAACACGAAAACAAACACGAGAGCATCGACGACCTAAAGCCTAAAGCTTATTCTTCAGGACATGCCCTGAAGAAGTATACTCGTGTCGCTGCATTACAAAACAACAAGGTAACACCATGTATGCATGACACACTGGAAATGGATTGAACACATATCAAAACTGGTGGTATGGCAAAGCATGCAAGCTGCCAACGGCGCCAACGACACAGGTCATGGCCTTGGGAGCCTTGGACGCCCTGGCTCAAACAATCCAACATCGGCGGAAGAGAGGTGCCCAGATGGGGCTGGGCGAGGAGAAACATGCATGGATGGCTGCTGGGAAGCCAAAACTGCCCTGCACCCGTAGGTTTTGCGAATGGATGCATGCTTGCATGGAGAACCTCAGCAGGCCTTCAACAAAGAGACGCGTGTGTATAAATACATGTATATGGATATATATGTATGTACATGTAAGGCCTTTCGTGGCGCTAGCGTAATCAGTTTGCACGAGGGTAAGGCCAAATCGCAGCATTAAACCAGTCAGTCAATATTTCCCCTATATCGGTAGTACTACAACGAATTACGATGCATTACGTACACATAATGAAGAAACCTGTTTTTCAACTCGTAGACTTAACCATATTTAACCTGTATCAGAAGCGAAGAGATGATATGCGACCCCCCTTCAGGTGCTTCGTCATATGCGACCCCCCGCTGTCCACAGGTGCTGATGGGCCTGCGGTGGACAGTCCGAGCGCTGCATGCTCAGAGGAGTTCGATTTGCAGACGTGTGCGTGCGTTCCTATAGTCAGTCAGACAGTCAGTGTGTTTGTTTTTGGTGTGTGTAGTGACGTAGTGTGTATTGCAAACCAAAGGGGGGGACATGCAGATATGCCCAACTTCTTGGGCGATGACACTGCCCATATTTAGCTTGAGCGTGGACAGTTCCAGTCTGCCAGCGTTCCGCTGCAGGTGTGCTTCCTGCAGTGGGCCTTCACTCAGAACCCAGAGGTGTGCTTCATCAAAAAATAGTTGGCTCTAGGGAATCCTTGTGCTCCCTAGATTCTGAAGATTCAGTTGGCTCTAGGGAATTCCATAGATTCAGCGATTCTTTGGCTGAATTGTTTGGCATGCGCTTTCCTCTTTATGCTCATCCCTTTCGACCCGTGTCAAGTGGCTCCGTCCGGACCTCGGGGACGAGGCGTGGTGTCCGCCACCGGCCGCTGATTTGAAGCACGCGATGGTGCTGGCAGAGCAGCCACCTGGCACACCGATGAAGGGAGTTGAGGTCGGAGCCTCCGACTCCGAGGTCGGATACATGTAGAAGGCCCATCAATGAAAAATCCCCCGGCCCCTTGGAATGGGACAAGCGTTTCTGCTGTCCCAGAGCGTGCCAACACTCGAAAAGAAAGCCCAGCGGGGGGTTATCATGTGTTCTATGGCGGGGGGGGTAGAATGTTTTACCAACCAACATTCTACAGTTGTGGGATCAGTGGCCTTGGCCATCACTGGGCGCAACTCGAAGTACCCAGAAACTGAACAGTGGACTGACCAAGGGAACCTGCACATACCAGTGGCGCTGAGGTTCCTTGTGAATTTTGCGGGAATCTAATTATGTATAATATAATCGATATAATGGTATATAATGACAATGGGCTATTATTGGAGTGTTTTACAAATTGAATTGAATGATGTTGAATTACTTTCCAGCCACACTGGCAGCATTTGGTAGCATGTTCTTTTTTGACTATCAAACACTTGTTCCATGTTCTATCGTGCCGCAGTGTCAAGGCTCCATGTGTGTTCTTTTTGCTCAGCTTTTGGCCCGATGAGATGCAGAGAGACCACATGTGAGTGACCATTTCTCCAGCGGGAAGAAATCAGAAACAACATGGATCAAGGTCTAGTCATTCCGAACCTGCCGGGAGCGTTCGTTCAAAAGACGTTCGTTCAAAGATTAGTCGACGCACGGAGAAGACGTGGACGTCGGTGAATTTCAACTCTTAGATCTAGTTGACCCGTCCAATGGGAAAGCAAGGCTTCGATCCCAGGACAGCTTTAGCAAATGCCTCTTGGAGTGTTTGGAGGGCTGACCATGCCTTGTATGGAATGCTGGTGCCACCCAACTGACGTGGACCTGGTGGGCAAGATCCCAGCATGTGGTTGGTGCTTACTGCAAATCAAAGCATGATTACTTTGTTGATCTTTGGTACGGGTGCGCGCTTGGTTTGATCACGAGGCTTGATTCAAAAAGGTTCACACGGGTTCAGATGCGTACGCAGACCCACACGTGTGATTCTTAACATGCCGCCTCAATTTGGAACCTGAGGCATTTGTGCACATCCTTATTCGCCTGTAAGGCATGCTCGTGCCCGGGGTGGTTCGTGTACAGAAACGTTTCCGGGAACTGGATGGGTGGGTCTCTAAGGCGTTGAATACCAGCGGAAAGGCCAAGGCAGCACCGCCCAAGAAGGAGGTGGTGAAGGAAGTGCCAATCAGCACTAAGAAGCGACCTGGCTGAAGGGAACATGTAAGGAGCAGAAGAACCTATGGGGCATTGTTTGACACAAGCAAAAACAAGTGCACCAGCTTCAGAAAGAGAAACATTTTGTTCAGGTGCTCAACATGGTTTGGTAGCAGCCCCGCTGCCGACAGCTGCCAGGAAAGTGGAGAAGCCTGCAGAACCGGATCCTGCCCCAAAAACCAAGAAGGACTTGGAAGAGGATCAGCGCAGATATGTGGAACAGCACCTTGATTGACGCTTAAGTGCCACATTGATGTATGCGTACCATGGACAACCCACGTTGATTTTTTAGATTCTTGCCTGGCGGTGATGTCAACCAGTCCATTCAGTGCACCCTTCCTGGACAGGCTCCAGGGCGTTGCAACTTTGGTTTGCGGCTTTGTGCTTTGGCTTCACTCTCCAAACAGAACCCATGGCCCATGACACTGAGGTTAGAAGCTGAGAAACAACAGTTTTTCGCCTCCGAACAGGCGGGGAGAAGCCCGCCCTGTTTGGTGTGAAACAAGGCTGAGAATGCGGATGTCTCAAGGTGCATGCAGAAACTGTTCTAGAGTTGCCGCAGTATGCAGTTTTCAAAATAGTTTTCATATGTGTTCGAGTCTATTGTCAATTGTTTAGGGACCTGGTGGCCATTTCTCGAGGGTTGTAATGACTGTTGACCCTTCCATGTGCTCTCGAGTCCAACCCTCACGCTTTTCCAGAAGACACCGAAGACCAAGAACAGCTCCCTCCTCAAAGGCTCAGATATGCTAAGATGATCTAAGATGCTAATGACATCGGTATTCATCCGTAGGTAAAGGTGCACCTCTTCCTTTCAGATGCGCGGCATTCTTGGGCGACCTGCCGTTGGACTCCTGAGCGAATCTGGCCCCCCTCTCCGGCCGTCATCCGTCAGCCCTGCCAGGCTCGGAAGTTAGCTGGCAGCAAAGGTGTGGATCAAGACGCTCGGAGCGGAAGGAGCAGGATAGGACCGGAAAGGAGCACTGGACAAAGGAAGAGTCACCATGTTTAGTGAATATTTCGTGTTTGGCTTGGATTTATTTTGATATGGTTTTGGATTCATAAGATGCGATATGTCATGAACTTCTCTAATGGACAGTCACCATGTTTTTTTCCTGGGCACTAGTTCTTCGCTGAAGATCTATTGATTGTCACTGAGAAACCTGTGCTTCTTCAGCTAGGATGGCAGGAAACATGGAATTCTACTTTATCAAGTCTTACTAGTATACATGATGTCCCCGACATGTTAAAAGATCATGAAGCACATTTCCACTATAAAATCGAAGGGGTATACCTATACTATGTATATTTTTTTGTATGTCTCCTACCATCTCCTACCCCTTGGAGGGGTCATGTTCTGATTTTATAGAGAAACTGTGTGTGTATGGTGTTGCCGCTGCATTTCCACTGAAGTTTCAGCACCAGGAAAACGGCAAGCCAGAGGAAGCAAGAAAAAATAGTAAATTATAGAATGTTAAGGACCAAGATCTTCAAAGATCAAAACATCCAAGATGTTGAATTAGTTTTTTGGTATGTCTTTGTAAACTTAAGTGTTGAACATGTTGAACTGTTTCAAAAGGCGCTTTGTCAAGCACTCAGTACCACTGATTTGTGATCTGATCAGTCACACATGAAACTCAACGTCAGGTGAGGTCATTTTATGTATATACTTGTAAATGCTGTGGAGGTAAAGTTCTTCAAATTAGAGTACCCCTGGCCTGCGGGTTGGCTCCACCGTTTTATATCTATAAATTGGGGGTATGGACCCCCCCCCAGAATTTGCACGTTGATTTAAACAGTATATTTTTACCAGTGGTCTTCGGGGAGGCCCTAATCTAATGCACTCTCATTGGTGTTGGGTTTCCTCAGTTTGCCTGGGGAATTCATTCACACTCGGGCATGTCCCCAGACTGTATTCATTTTTTTCTGGGTTCCTTTTCCAAGTGACTAAGCCGGTGAAGGGCGATCTCGCTGAAAAGCGGTTGGTGGCGGATTCTCGGGGTCCATTGGGGTCCTTTGGTGATGATGCTGGGTCATTGTGCTGGATACAGAACATCGTAATCCATGTGCCTTTCGTTTTCACCGATGGGCGGATGAATCCATCATGGCCATCCAATCATGAAGCAGAGATTTTTTTCATGAAGCAAGGCACTATTCGGTCGATGGGATCACGTCTGGTGGAGGTCCACAGGGCTCGTCCTGTCGACACGCATTCGGATGTCCGATGTTTGGCGACAAGGAAGTGACCTATGTCGAAGACAAAGACACACGAAAGCCTAAAGCAGCCGCTTGGATAAAGGAAGGAACTGTTGAATGACTTGCACACCGAGGCGCCAAGTAGTGATTTAGGTGAGGATCGATCGGATCGGCCTGTGTTTGGGGCCTGTTTGCTGAGTAGGGTCCCACCAGAAAGATTGTTTTTGCTTGCTCAAGCCGTTTGGCTGAGCGGTGGTCCATATGGCCTGCTGGAGGCAGTGACTCTTGTTGCCGAACAATGCCGAACATGCTGCTGTCCCAAACGCACGACGTGTAGTGTGCGTAAATACAGATGTGTAGTGTCGCATAGGATCCAATCTGTGGACCATTCTGAACCAATGCACTACCCCACCAGCAACGACCACTTCTGTGCACCCCTTCATGTCCAAAGCTGGGCCCACACCATCCATGTTGATCCATTTTGGTTTAACAAAAACATTAATCTGCCGCGGAAGCACATCAATTCGGCTTCATAGAAGTATAATTCGCAGAGACGTACTTCCCAAGCTTCGCAGAGCCCAGTTTTTCTTCGTAGATGTGCATGCTGCTTTAGACTCCTAGACTTGTTTAAACAAATTGTATGAACAGCAAAATGACCAACCCAGCACAGGGTTTGCTCAGCGATTCTGACCGGCAGGTCAGCGACATCTCCGACTTCTGGAAGAAGGAGTTGGGCTTGCTGCCGTACATGCCAACTGACAATGTTCAGGAGGTTGATTTGCCAGAGGAGCTTGATCACTCCATACGGCTTCTATACCTTCAGATTCTCGGCTCATGGTCCCATCGTGAATTGAACGGCCAACAGCTTGGGGAAACATCTTGGCAGCACCTTTTGGAGGGCAACAATTGGGTGCACCAACCACTGAACATGTTGGTGGTCATGTTGATCTAATTGCTGATTCACTGCGGAAACAATCAACCAAGCTGGTTTGCAGTGGATTGGTCAACTAGTATGCCGGCACGTAGAATATAACCATGTTTGCATATTTTTGCAATTAGGTTTGGCATCCAAACTATTGACACTAATGAAACGTCAGAAAGCCCCTTCCCAGTGGACTTCAGATTTGACGAGGTCTGTCCGCGTTCCGCACGAATTCAGGAACTTGAATGAGCAGCTCGAGAAGCTTCTGACCATGCGTGCTTTGCCGCAAGGTCAGTGACTTTTCACCTTCCAGCAAGCCGCAAGACTTCCAGGAATGCCGGGTAGGAGAAGCTTATTCGAATGAGAGGCTGGTGAAAGGCGAATTTGGGTGCCGTAGACCATGTATAGATCACTAGGGCAGGCTCTCGTGACTTCGTGACGAATTTGGGCTTGTTCCACCCTGGAGTCACGAATTCGTGGCTCCTTCCGTCGTTCGTGACGACATCCACCGCCACGAGCCGTGGCCATGTCGCTTTGAGGTTTCCATGTCTTTTGGAGCCAGTGCATTTACGATCCCGCCGTCAGTCGGCTGGTGGATTCGTATCTTAGGCCGGCGGGTTGAGGGGGTTGAGGGGCAAGATAGGATGTTCGAAAGCATGTGGTCGGGCGGGTGGAGGCCTTTGGTTTGACATGTGGGCATTGGAATCGCAAGAGGTTTTCCTTGATTGGCGGCATACATCGTTGCATTGCTGTATACGTTCGACCAGATCAAATTCTTTTATATAAGTGCAGTCTAGTCCCATGGTGACTATAGTGTGTTTGAACAGTTGTGAAATATACTGTTTAGGCAATCCCATTTAAATGGCCACTGCCGATGGAGTGCTAAACCAATTTGGTGTCGTGTTTAGCGTACATGTGTACACTACAGTTTGCATTTATTTACTTCCATCCTGATCATGATTGATATAGAACGAACATTATTTGGGCATGTTTGGGCCGAGACTCTGAGGATGAGTATGGTCCAGCCATGGTCTTCGATCAGGAACTCCCCGAATAACTCGAACGCGCCGGCAGTTTCTCGGTGCGACCAGCCGGCGAGGTATTGCTTGCGTAGCCACGACCTAGTGGAAGGACAAGAGCCGGCTATCTCGTTGGAGGAAATGAACCTTGGCACCGAGGCTTTTGGTGTTTTCTCATGGTCAAAACCTGGAGCTATCTTGCACACCGCTGCATTGACCATGTCGCGTCTTTCAGATGGGCCAAACAGACACCGCTTGGAAAAGGCTCACCAGCCATGAATTCGTTGGAAAAGGGACCACACCCGATTTGCCACCGGAAAGGGGCCACACCTCCCTGGAACCCATGGAGCCATCGACAAATCGACCGTTCGGCACAGGTGCTTGTTTCGGAAAAACCATGCAGTTGTCACACTGCAGTTGCCTAGTTAGATCAACTTAAACTAGTCTCTACTAAGGTAGGCGGTATGTGCCATCTGTGCTTGCGCCGACTCCTGGGGGCCAAGATTTCATTTGAAACCATTGGAATATATATATATTTATTTATATATATATTACTTCGATAAAATCAAGAGAGTCGATGTTTAAAAAGCCCTTGGAGTCCGAGTGGTCAGTCCTGCCGGGTTTGCGCCCGTTTTGGAAATAGACACAGAGACACAGGGCTGACATGGGCCTTTAGAAGAAACTTGTCAATATGTTTCTTAAATTTGTAGTTGGGCGCTACCTTTTGGCAGATTATATTTCTGACCCTTATTATAGTCAAGTATCGCATTCTCCTGTTTTTTTGTCGCTGCCACATTGATGGCATACACAGGCAGTTATGTGTCGATATGTTCAATGGGTACTTTGACAATCAAAAACTAAAAAAAACGACCTGGCTGCCAACAATTTAGACCCCTCGCTGTGTGCCAAACGTTGGTGATTGACTATAAAGCTGGCCGACGTGCCGAGAGAGAGAGAGAGAGAGCGCCTTGTTAGGACCGCCTCCCGGGATGTGAGCCGGAGAATGTTTCAGCTGTTGCTGCGCCTGAGCCGACCGCAAGAAAGCCCACATGACGCTCAGTGAAAAACCAGGCGCAATCAGGCGCAGAGAGAGGGGCGTGGCGGGTGGCCAGGTGGCCTAAAAAGGGCTCTCGATGGTGGGACCAAGTCGGTGTTTGTGTCAAAGAAAGGGAACACCAGCGGGAAAGGGTTGCTTGGAGTATGCTCGAAGACCAGGTCAATCCTTTCACATGTGAACACCTTCCAGAATCCAACCTGAGGTGCCGTTTTTGGATGACCCGGCCCCTACACCATCGCACGGTTGCGACCCCCTTTGGGTTGGGCAGCCGGTACTTGCGTGAGTTGACAGAGCGGGCCGCACACAGCGGCGCATCGTTTAGCAAGCAGAGCCACCTCAATGTGTATGATTGTTTATGTATTCTAGGCACACACTTCAGCAGCCAGACAGACAGACCTATGCAGATTAGCTTTGGCGACTTTTGTATGATGTTGCTGTTTCTTAGGAGCTCGAGTCCATGGTACCTTATGATTGTTCGAGTCGACAGTCGGACTGACTAGTGGCCAACATTCACCCAGGAATTCCTCTCCAAGGACAAGCACCTCGTTGGCAGTTGGGTGGGACAAATCCTTGAAGTCATGCGAAGTCACATAACATGGAGAATCGCCCAGCGAGCACACGGAGTCCTGTTAGGTGCATTTTTAGGTGCCAATGAACAAACCAGACTCATGTTTTGAGATGAGCGGGCACTATTTCAAAGGGGGAGGCCGGGCGTGTCGGTTTGTCCCATCCAATAACAGGAAATCCACCTTGAAGCATCTTGAAGCAATAATGTAGTCCCTTGATTTATAAACCCCCCCCCAACAACCAAGGCCTCCAAAATAATGTATAAGAAAATCAATCAGATGATAATTAAATAAGGAATCCTTAGCTAGCTACCTCTGGAGCTACTCTCGCAATATTAAATTAAAAGGAAATAAGAATTCCTAACTTTGAAGACATCTGGAATATTAATTACAATATTGAGTAAACTATAACAATAAAAACAAATCCACTACAGCTACCCCTCCAAAAAAAAGACATTATTCTAGGGGCCTTTATAAATCAGTGCAGGGAAAAAAAATACATAATTCTAGGGGGGTTTATAAATCTGAGGGCCACATTAGGAGTTTGGATCAAAAGGTCCTTCATGTCGCAACCGTTGCAATAGCTTTCCAGCGCCATTTGCGGTTGCAACGCCCAAGAAAACTGTAGAGTTGGCTGTTGGACACCTGGCTTGCTAGACAAGTTTTACCCTCGACGCGGAACCACGACACTTTACATTGAGCTAGAGGCTCAAGAATGGATGTTTTGTCTTGGTGTTGCAAGACGAAGCTTGTTGCAATGAACTCTTGAAATTTACTTTAATTTCCTCTCATTTGGTGAGTAGTGGTTTGTCAGGTCGGCGGCGAAGGCACTAGGAATCCAGATGGGACGATCAATTTGGCTCCAGTTTTGTTTTCCCGCGAAGGCCGCACAGCCATGGGCGGCCACAAGGCTCCAGAGTGGCTTCAGCATGATGCAGTGGGCTTCTTTCTCAATGATGTCAAGCCTAGTCTGAAGCCTGAGGACCTGCCTGAGGCTGACGAGCTTCCTGAGGAAGAGCCTGTGGTGGAGGCCAAATCCATTGAGCATGGTCTAAGGTCAAGCCTCGACCACATCCCCTTCCGAGACTCGTTCAGTTCATACACCCACATGTCCAGCGACCGTGGAGCAGCCCCCAATGGCCTGGAGGAGTTTGATGATGCCATGCAGATGCTCGAGCGGAACCAACCCATCCTCAAGAAGATTGTACGGCGACATCGTGGGAATGGGGCTTTTTGGGCATTCGAGACTGGCTTGGAGTGGTTTGATCACCTCATCCATGTGAGAGGCGTCGTGGATTCGCGGTTTAGGCTGTAAGCCAGGGCTGTGGGATTGAAATACCCCAGTCGGCAATGGCGCCGGCGTCAATCGTTTTGAGCGCACATAGCCATTGTGTGGCATACTTCAGCGCTACACCTTTCCAGATGTTGTTTCAACTTCCTGAAGTTCCGTCTTCCCAAGACGCGGCGTGCTTTGTATAGTTGTGTGGCGGATTATTTGTTTCGCCAACCTGGTTGTCCACATGGCATATCACGGGCAATGGCCCCATACTCTTTATGACAGATACGAGAATGAGAAAAAGAGTAAGCCTTGCTGCTTGCCAGTTCAACCCTGATACCATACCCCAACCACTCCATCACTCCATGGGATTTGGATTTGGATGGAGGAAAGGTTTGTGCCAGCCTGGCTTTCCGTCCCATGCCATCGCTTCAACCCCCCCCATGACCCAGCCGAGGTTTGCACAGGTGATCCACGAGCATCAACTCTTTGACGTGCCGAAGATCATTGATCTTTGTGTGATCTATGGTGATGCGAACCGGAACACCGTGACGAAAATCGTCCACTCGGTGTTCAAGCATCAGCCCCTTTTCAAGGCGCAACGGGGGGGGGAACGGACCACCGCGAACGGACAAAGGGATCCGACAAAGCGGCCAGCATAATGTTGGATGTCCAGAGAGTTTGGTCCCTTGAACACCAATTCCGTTAGTATCCGTTAGTGAAACGAGTGTGGAACAGAAAATGACAGACACAAAAGATATCACACATATATATATATATAGTTCCTCTCTTTGCGGAGTTTTTATACAAGGGGCCCTTCAAGGGGCCATAATAAAGGAATGCGATGTTTCAGTTGTGAATTTATTACAGCTTGAAAATCATTCGTGTACAGGTATTTCAGTGGTTTCCAGCTAGGCCGCGGCTGCATGGCAAAGGGGTTGGCTCAGGTGTATAAGTGTATAAGGAATAAGGAAGAAATTTGAAGAAGCACTCTCCGCCTCCATGATCCAATCCACGTTGCTCAGTTCACGGGTTGTTTTCGACAGCGAACTGATCAGGAGGAGTTTGCCTCCGTGGTCCAACACATGTTGGATGGCCTTCTGCAGTGTTGCGCCCCCTTACAACTGGCAGCGAAAGGCTCCAGCTCGGCTGGGCCAGATGACTTGAGCGTGTGCCTGGGCATGACGGACCAGGATGAAACTCAAGTGTCCATACGATTCCCAAGTTTGTGACTCTACTTCGCGCCAGTGGACGGAATGGCAGCTCCCGGGTCGGGGCTGGAGAATGGCAACTCTAGGTTCTGAGAGCTGGTGGCTGGAAAAGGTCTGACGGAGACTGGTCTCAGGACTTTGGGGGAGGACTGGAGACATCCCACTCAACAAACACAGGTGGAAAAAGGTCTATGTTCCAGGGAAACTGAGGGGGTCAGAGCAATACGGATACACCGGATACTATCCTGTAAACTTGCCTGATGACTGTGTTTCCGAACTTGGGACGCATTTGTGCGTGCCCCCCACACCGGGAAGGCTCAATCATAGTGCGTCTACACGTTGGAGAAACGTGAACGAAACTCTAAGACGAGGAAGGGTTTATTTGATGTACAGTATCCAGCTTCCCGTCTTTTTTTGGGGGAGAGTACTCCAGACCACTGGATGAGGATGGAGTGCAAAGCCTTCCTCCCGGACATGCTCAGTTGCTTTAATGCTGCTTGGGCAGCTGAAACAAGGCGTTGGGCGCAGGCCGTGTGGAATGGATGCATTGGTCGCTTCTCTTGCTTGAAGGCAGTTCAGCAAAGACCAAAAGTCATCCAAGCTGGGGAGACTTGAGGAGAGGAAGTTCAGAGGAAGAAGGTAAGAGGAAGATCCAGGAAAATGTAAAACGTGGATTACATGGATGCGATGTCATGGGTCCATAGGTATGAGTATGAGGCATGTTCCAAGAACTGGAAGAGGCACTCAGGTAGGGATTCCCTTTTGCTAGCCTTTTGGTTTGTGCGATGGCTGCTCTGAGGCGATTTTTTGCTTCTTCCCCGAGGAGTGTGTAGAAAAGCTGATGGGCGGCAGCCTGAAGATCGACAGCGCTGGGAACGACGCAGGAGTCCCCGCCTTGCCTTTAGCGGAGCACCAGCCAGAATGTGGAAGAGTCGTGATGCTGTTGTGCGGGTTTGGGGCTCAGTGCTCAACATAACCCGGACGCTCCATGTATGCCATATATGCCGATCAGTTGGGGTGGTTTGGGGGGTCAATGTAGGCATATATGGCAGTCCCATGGAGTGTATGGGTAAGTATCCTGAAACAGACGGTTCCAGCAGGTGTCCAGCAGGTTTCCGCATCGGTCAAGCTTGGGAGATCCATCCATCCCAAGCAGTCAGGACATAGACCTTCCAGCCGCGTTGCCCGCGGCTTGCCTTCGGGCCCAAAAGGTAGATAAAACACGTCAAAGAACCATATACTGTATAACGATAGACATGGCATGGGATGAAGCATGATAAAGCATTTCCCAATTTCCAAAGCACTTGTGATTAGGGTGGGGCACCCTTTTGAATAGTAGGTTGCTTTATTATTTATCCATCTCTATAATATGTACAGCCAGCGATTGTTTTCTACACCCCTTCATTTGCATACATGATCATACATGGTCATATTTGGCCGTAGATTTAGACCTGGCCGCTTCGTACAGCCAGGTCTGTGCAGTCTGACTTCTTAGGTAAAAACTATAGTAAAGAAACCAAAGGGAGTTGGAAATTTGACCGCCAACCTGCACGTGATGTGTTTCACGGACGGATGATTCAGGGGAGGTAGGGGATGGTAGGGGGCTTGAGTGGACGCTGGCGTGCCTCGGAGTGGATGCTTGAACATGATGTAATGGTGCACCCAGGGCCCACGTGGTTTCATGTGCCATTTGTATGCTTCCCGCAGGAATCCAAAGTTTTGCATTCGGTGGTTTGCTGGGAGGTCATCCCAGAGGCATGTGTGAACTCTTCATCACAGATTTGACTACTGTAAGGACTTGCTGGGGGAAAGGGGCAAGTTCCTGATTGGCTGGTTGTTCATAAATATATATATATAATATAATATATATATACATTTTTGTGAGGATTCAGAGATGTTTCCGGCAAGTTGTTTCCAACGGTCTCAAGCGATTGAATGCTTACTGAGCCTATTGCAAGTGCCCAATGCGCAGAGCTGCAGACAAAGTGTCACATACCTGACAGTTGCATGCATCCATCCATTCAAGCATCGCTACTGTAGAGCTGAACCCCATCCGTGGCAGGATGCACTACTACATGGTAAGCCACCGGTTTATTCATATATAATTGTCTTTGTCATTGCACCCACAGTAGTACGTACAAGTTGGAGGTTGTTGTTCATATTGCTTTGCAGCCAGCCAGGGCCACCCATCCGTGTACCAAGGATTTGATGGTCATTCTGCATGATGCTGTGAGCGCTCTCCGCGACAAAGACGCCTGGGCTGAGTGTAACCAGTTGCTGTAGAACTAGGCCTCGATCCCTTTAGTGGATTGAGAGTAGATGGCACAATCCTCAAAAGGTGGTTCTTATGGCCCCCCTGAAAGCAATGTAATTTCATCCACCTAGCTATGCGAGAAGATTGCACAACCTGACGATCGCACAGGGCCGCGAAACCCTTCATTACGGCTGAAGATGTTCGTATCGACGATCCCGAGATCTCCGGCGGATCCACGATCGAGGCTTTGTTGCCGATCCTGACAAGTCCAACCCTGTCAGGGCGATCGGTTCAGAAGGCCATCGGCAAATATCATCAAGATCCGGGTATAACACATCGTTTGTCCATGTTTGTCCTTTGTGAATGCCGGGTTAAGAAGGAGTTCCAAGGAGGCACAGGTTTGGGTCTATCCCCATTATCAGCCATGGACCGTATGTGCTGCCTCAGTCCACGCTTTTGTGCTGCTTGCGGTTCTCACTTTGTAGAGTCTCTCAATTGATTGGTCACATGTTGGCTTTGATGGGTGGCATACTTGTCGTGACTTTCTCCAAGGAATTCGATCTGGGACCTGCCAGCTTGGCAATTGGCAATGACTCTCTTGGAAGTTCCCACCATGATGTTGCATTCAAATCCATGTGGTTCTTGCCATGGGACTCAACATCGCATCCCCAAGCTATCCGAATGGAAAACAGATTTGCTGGAACGGTGCGGCACTGGATGGCCGGGCCAGTGGCCCAGCATGGGCCAGCCTGTTTGATCAGGACAGCAATGGAAAAGCAGACATGGACAGCATCATCAAGCTGCTGAGCCGGCTCTTGAGCTGTGTGCTAGGCGCCCCATTGTGGGAATACCACTATTGGGAAATTATGTAATTATATATATATATGTGTGTGTGAATATGCATATGTACATATTTACTTATAATAATATACAGTATATGATGCAGTTGTCGTTGTCTATTTTTTGTTTTGGGCATTATATATATATATGTGATATATACTCATGTTTCAAAGTAGTGCAGAGTGCTGATATATCAAACTATTGGGGTGTGTTTTGCTTTTGGGCTTTTAGTCGTCCCTTGCGTGGTGTTTCTTGAAAGGCTCATTTCATCTCATTTCCAGGTAGAACAAGCTCACCCAATAAATAGGGACTTCTTTGGGGGAACCGTTAGTTATTTGGAAGGTCTTTGGTATGGGCTTATTCGTTTCACCTAGGACCTAGTGAAGTGCATGACAAGTCAAGGGTCAAGAATGAAGAATACATTATATACTCCAAATGACGGTGAGTCAGCCACATAATGAAAGAGGAACAAGCTGAGGAGAAGGACTGTGGAAAAGGAAAATGAAAAGAAAGAGGAAGAAGACACGGAAGAGGCAAAGGAAAGAGGACAAGAAAAGGCAGTATGAAACAGATAATGAGGAAATTTTTCGGAAGAAAGTCAAAAGGACCAGGGGGAATTCAATGGTCCTATAAGCTACAACTCCGCTACAATACAAAAGCATTAAAAGTCTCACATTTAACATGTTATATTTTATAACTAGACTATATGGCAAGATTGCAAGATGACATACTCTCAAAAACTGCCCGTCCCAATCTCATACCGCGCCTAACACACACACACACACCAAAAACAAAGGTCATTCCCCGACACCGCCGACCAGCCACGGCCAGGTTTCCGCATGGCGCCGCGCCACGGCGCCGACGCCTTCGGCGAGCTGGTGGCCTGGGTCACCGAGCACGCCGAGAGGACGGCCGAGCTGGGCGGGGCGAGCACGCTCCAGCGATGAGCGGTGAAAGGGACTGGAAGGGGCGGTCAAAGGAGGTCAAATCAATTCAAATCATGTAGTTTTTGTGGTTGAGGGATGATGCCATTGAAGTAGTTTCTCTAGTAGAAGTGAACTAGGTTCAGATATCTTTGGATAATGAGAAGGCTAACTCAGCTATCTTCCAAAAAAGACAGCCTTTTGGGTCCCTACAGCCAGCCACCGGCCTTGGTCAGGACACAGTTGATCCAGGACTTGAGCAGGAGAATTGGGTAGGCCATGTTTGCACTTGTGCACAGAGAAGGTCCTCTCCAGAGAATGCCAGAGATCCCCTGGCGGACTTTGTGAGGGCCTGGATGCCACGCAGTACCCGCATTGATCACCGTGTGCAATTGGGATTGGGCATGGAGGTCAGAGCTACAGACAGAGTGTTCATTTTGTATATGATGTGTTTGTTCATTTTGGCCGATTCAGAATCAGCTAGTCTAGTAAGAGCCAGTGAGAACAATACGATACAACATAATATATATATATAGAACGATGAAAGATGTCAAAACGGCGAGGCTGTGTCGCTTTGCAGGAATGGTTTAGACAACGTGGCCATGGAATGGATAGCTAGCGGCCTCGTGGATGACACACAGCGACTCGGCCAAATACATATTGCCAATCAGCTTCAGCAGTGGCACCGCCTAGCTAACCCGAAGAATTCTTTAGGACTCTTGTCCTACCATCAATAATCTGGCTGAAGCATTGCCGACCTTAGCTTCCAGTGAATCTGAAGATATATATATATATATAACTGACGATTTCTGAGTTTTGTTGACAGGCTTGAGCCCTCCAGGGCATTGGCAGTCTCCCTTTTGTTGCCTCACCCACTTGTGTAACATTTCCATGTCATTGTCATGGTTCTCATATCACCTTTAGCACCATTCAGTTAGAAAAGAATTGCAAAGCATTGCAAAGCACGTCAGCAACACACAAACACACATATATATATATATGTATACTGTATATATTATACACTTTATATATATATACACTTGGAATTGAACTTTGAAGACTGTAAACACAAATTTAGTCGCCCGCAGTTGTCCAGCGCGTGCTGCCCTGAATCCACCCGAGATGAGCATGCAGCATGAACATGCTATTCTGGGAAAGTCTCATCGCAGTTCACCTTTTGTGCTTTGATGTTTTATTTGGCTCGAACGAGATGCTATTCTCCTGGTCACTTCAGCTTTGATAGTTTGCTCATTCTGCCTTTGTGCATCATTGTCACCTCACAGTTTCTGCCTTTATTCAATCTCAACCCAGCCAAGCTCATGGAACGTTACAGCATCCACAGAACATGTGTGTTGTTTTGTTCTGTATTTTCTTTTGCTGGAGGGTACTGTAACTTAATTGCTGCTGCTGCTGCTGCTGCTGCTATGTGCTTGTTGTGACTCTTATGATTTGAGGATGCCATGTTTTGATATTTGTCCCAAAGTTCTGAACCATGCCTTTTGAGCTGAGATGGACGACAAACCAGAAAGACATCGGCTCAGGGTCAACAATGAATCTCAACCTGTGTGAGTTCAATTGGTTTCCCTTCATCTCAGCTCAATCGGTCGCACTTGTCGCTTTGGTAGCCAGGCTTATTATGGCTTATGTGACAATACTTTTCTCGTTGAATTCTTGCTTTCCCAATGTACATGTCCCCGTGCTGATTTGACTCCGATGTGCTTTTCCATCGTTGGTGTCAGGGTGGGGGAGGGGGTGCTCGCTGCAAAGCATTGACAGTGTGGCTTTTGCAATGCTCTCCTACCAGGTAAGACTAAAAGGAATGTTTTTTTTTTTTTTAAATCCACTTCCATGCATGATCCTAAAAGAACTTTTGGGACAACTATCATGGGTTTGTCAAATGTCAAGAATGTGTGGGTCATGGATCCGACTTCTGCGCTTGGGGCCTAGGCTAGACTATCTGGATGACCTTTGCGGAGCTCCCTTGCTGCCCAAGGAGGCACGGCACCGAAGAAGGCCCGTTGCGCCTGGCGCCGCCAAAGCAGCGCCGCGGGACGTCTCAGGCGGCCCATCTCTCGCAGCACCGGCCGCAACGCGCTCCGCGGGTGGGGCGAAATGTCGGAACATGGGAGGATCAATTTGGTCAATCAACATGCATATGGCCCCCCAAAACATGTGCCAAATTGTTCTAACATAGGGTCGGGTCAATCTTGTTCGGTGCCTCCAAGCACAAGCCCACATGCAAGTCAGTCATTGGGCCACAGCAAAGTTGTAGATTTTGCAGAGGTTGGCATATGTTGACATGACCTTATGTTGCTGAGCTTTGACCTCCCGAGCTTTTTGTTTAACATAACTGTCGAGCAAGAAATTGCGACCACCAAGATAAAACAAAAGTCAATACACCTCAAAGATAACAAGCAAAGTTGGCATGTTGGTCATTGGTCGTCGTATGTCGTCGTCATATTGAAGTCATCCTCCATTCATGAGTGACACGATGCTGACATCGACAAAACAAAACACATTCAATACACATCAAACATGTTGATACACAATATTATACATGTATACACACTGTATACCGTAAATATCGGTAAAATAAAGCTATCAAGTGCCGCAACGATGACTGACCTCATCCACTCCGGCACAGGGCCCTCGTCCTCGTCCTCGTCCTCCAACGACCGCGCGAAGATCCGGGAGGTGTCACCCTTTTTTTCAATGAACAAGTCCTGATACTCAATTAGTTGGCAAATGAATTTCATCCAAGAGGTCCAGAGGATGGAGTGTATGTCAGTCTTTTCGGAGTATCAGCACCATTGGACCCCGGTGTGCCGGCTTGGTCCGTACTCAACCAATTGTTCAGTGGAAATCCTTGAGTCCGTACCAAAAACGTTCAGCCTGCTTCAGTGATAGCAAGTGTGATAGCAACCAGCAAGTGTGATAGCAACCCTCATTTTTAAATGAAATTGACATATTGATTGATATTATATAATTGCTTATTGGTAGAGCACAGTCAGATGATGGTTCAGCCCGGGGATTGATTGATGGTTCCCTTTGATTGATATTGATTGATGATTGGTTCACCCCCGGGCGCCTCAAATCTTTGGCGCCGGTGGCCAGGTCCGCGAGGTCGTCGGCAGCGAGTATGGCGAAGGAGCGAGCGTGGCAGCGTCCGTGGCAGCGTCGCGAGCGGGGTGTGACGGGGCGAAGCTGCTGGAAGAGACTTGTGAATATAGTATGAATATATATATATAGTGATTCAAAGCACCCATATGGAGCTGTAAAGCCATTCATGCGTGTCTACACTAGATCATGGCAAGATTGGCAAGGTGTTCCCCTTCACAGCTCTTAATGCTAAACAATGCAATTGGCATGTCATTGTAACTTGGACGACTTGACTCGACCTGAAGATCCTCCAAAAATGGAAAGGATAGGAAAGGCACAGATTCTAAATATTTTACAGTCTTGTTGTTCTTGTTCTTGTTATTGTTCTTGTTGTTGTTGTTGTTGTTGTTGTTGTTGCTTGGTCGATCGATTGCGGATGACTCCATGACCCCCAACTGTTTGATGGATCCTCGTACCAAGATTCGTCCGACGCCGTCCCATCACCGCCTCCTTGGGTCAGGTGATGTAAGATGATGTAAGCCTATGATGCTCTTGTCACCTGGTGAACAAAGTACCATCCCTGCCATTGCTGTCACCCTGGGCTGTCATGAGGTAAGCCGAACCTGTTCAAAAAAGGTGAAAAAGGACCATCGTCGCTGCCATTGCGGTGGCCGGGACACCGCAGGATTTATTTTGCAGTGCCTGCTGCACTATGGGGGCTCTGTCCCACAGGCGTGGCGGCACTCCCCCTTGGGATAGACGATGATAGACGCGGATCGTAGAGCACAGTCAGATGAATGTGTTTGCTCTTCTAAGATTGTTGTTATTTCAATGGGCCTCCCAGGTAGATCTACTTTTCTATCCTCTTCATAAGTTTCAGCACCTGTTGCCGCATGCAGTAGGCATAGCTGTTTGCTGGAAGATGGCAAGCTAGCTGAAGCCCTCGCAATTGCAAGCTGTATTGATGGCCCACCCAAGCCAAGCCAAAATGGCAAAGGCCAACCCCAAGCAGCCTTTTTGTTCCTTGACCCGCAGACAGGCAGTTGGTGGAATTCTAGATGGTTCACTGCCACCACAGATCAAAGCATTGCCCATCGGCATGTCCATAGGAGTGGGCTCATGCTGTGGACAGTGGACACATGGAAACCAAACATCCTGAACATGCCGTACCAGTATGTACCAATGGTTTCTTTGGAAGCGAAGCTTGCATCAACTTGCAAGTTACTGTACATGGTATTGTTTATCCAGCCACCTGAGAACCACTGCTTAATCATTCTCACTTGCAGGAGCCGAAACGGCGGCCGCCGAGCAGCCCTCTCAATCGAGTCTATCAGCTGAAGACAAGCAGCTGATCCTGAACCAGGCATGGCACATCGAAGGGCATGACAACTGACAAAGCCCATGTGAGAAAGAGTATTTCTTGGGGCTGCGAAGCTTCACCAACCTTTGCAGACCTGTGTTTTCTTCCCGGAGGAGACGCCTTGAACGCCATACTGTCCTGGACCTGTCAATGCTTCCCCCGCAACTTTATCAACACATCTTTTCGGGCTATTCAAAACGGTGGCACCCAGTGGTCCATTCCTTTGTCCCATTTTCGACCCGGCGGTTCTTGCCCTTCCCAGGCTGATCGGATCGAGGGCTCCGATGTGGAGGTGGAGAAATACAACGACGACTATGACGACGAAGAGGACGTACGTTCGACGAACGGGACAAGACGCACTGGAAGTATTCGGAAGTTCACTTCGAAAACGGGGATGGTGCAGACCAATGGTTTACTGTACACAATGGTTTTGGGTTATATAAGCACCTTTCTATTTATTATTTATTGTCTTTTACAATAACACACGCGAAGAACGGAATTGTTTCGACCTGGGTTTCTGGGTTTGTGGGAGGATCGTTTGGGAGACAAGCATTGGTCCAATGGCTAGTAAAACAGAACGGGTGGTTCCTTTCTCTTGCTTGCCATCTAAAGGCAGGCTTGGCACATCTCCAGATTAAATGGGTCTTGGCAACAATTCTAGGGGGATGATGGATTGCTTTTGGGCTGACCCGTCCACTGCCATTTGCCACAGAATCATGATGTGATGTGGCAATTGATTCTAATCATTATGTAAGTTATTTTCAGGTCCCATCAGCATCCACCTCCACCTCCCAAAAAAGGCTAGCAATGAGGCCCCGTTTTCTAGCAAGCCCGGAGGTGGTCCCGCCAGGAGGACTTGGACTTGGCTAGGGGCATTTTGCACTTAAGTTTTTGTTAAACCTCTTTCACTTTTCAACAACATCATTTGCACTCATACCCCATATGACATAGACCATACATCTTGGCTCCCTGTCCATTAAACAGCTGGCCTTTGGTCGGTGCCTCAAGGCCGTGGGCATGCCTCGCTTAGCTGCTGGTGCTGCTTCGGATTGGGAGGACGACTTTGGCTCGACCGAGCAACGGTGGCGATGACTTGGGCGATGGTGGGATCTGAAGAAACGTCCCCTTTGGGCGGAAGAGATGCCCCCATTTGCGCGGCGGTGTGCCGCGTGCAAATACTAGAGATGGGAGAAAGTGTCATACGAGACCCACCCAAGGCGTAACCTTCAAACTTGTATAGATGGACAGCATTTGCGGGGTGCACTGCGGCTTGTGCGTGTGCATTTGACGAAGACGGTTTTTGAGAGGACCGAAGCGAAGAGGAGGAGGAAGGAAGTAGTGATGAAGGTCCTCAGTGGAGCAATGACAGGCTGCGCACTGCTGTCCTGTTGCGCTTGTGAGTTTTTGAGGATGGTGTTCTTGAGCGTTCACGAATGTTCACGAGCAATGGTGTTCTTGAGCGTTCATGAGTAAAATCCACTGCACGCTGCACGCTGCGGCGCTTTTGTGAACTTTCGGTGTGCCAGGATGCGCGGCGGGCGTCTCAAGGGCAAGGGCAAAGGAAAGGCAAAGAGCTCTGGACCCACGCAAGGTCAGACCTTGCAGGCGGTGCAGATGGTTGGCCAAGCAGAATCTGGATGAATCACATACTGTATAAGTAAGTATAATTATACTTATATACTGCCTTATAATCATTGAGTTTTTTACGTGTATAAGATATTTCAATACGCTGATTCCTGAGCTTGCGAAACACATTGAGCACATAGCATTCGGCGATTCAGCATAAACCACCATCCTGAGCATGATCGAAATGTCGACATCTTGGAGGCCCGGCGGAAGGAGGCCCACAAGGCACAGGTCGCGAACCACAACCGCCGAGACGCCGCCATGCGCCCCTCGGTGCCCGGCACCGTGGGTCGGTTCATGCGGTCGCGGTCGCAACTGGAGCGACGATTCAAGATGGGATGTGAATCATAAAGTCTCCTGAAGGAGACGCATTTTTGGGTGTTCGTTCATTGTTTTCCAACTCCCATTCACTCTAGCCGCTAGCACCGCCCAGAATAATTAGAGCTGGATGTGTTCATGACCTGCTGTTCACTTTGCTCAGATCTTGGCAGTCACGGACCAGAATCTTGCCATGCCACCGAGGCAAAATGGCACGAGGCCTTTAAGCTGCCGAAAAGGCGAGGGAGTTTTCTTTTCGCGTATCCACGCATGACTCACAGCATGAAGGTTCAAGCAGCCTTCTATGCATGTGGAGTACATGAAGACCACTTTGAGCACCACTTTGGAGAAACTTCTTGAACACTGGGCCAATCCAGGCCAGGAACTGTAGGTTTTACATGGTTCTAGTTAGATTCTGAGTTTTACCAGCAGGTTTGGACCCCATGTTGTTAATTTTTCACCCCTAGGCGCATCAAAGAGATCCGGGCGTCGGAGTCGCTGAGCCGTGCGACGGCTTGGGAGGCGGTGGAGTCAGCAGAGGTAGCGAATCAGAGAGGATACAGGTAGAGGATGGGCTGGGTAACCAATATAGTTTTTGGGCCCCATTTGAACCAAAGAAAAGACATTTGCCACATAAAACTGTTAATATCCAGTCAGGTATGGCAGGATTTCAAGCACACTTCGAGTTGACTCCAGTCGCGAGGTTGGCGCTTGTACAGGTCGGAGGACGCACCGTCCCTGAGAGTCCAGGGAGCTGATCTCTTATTCAAGAGACAGAGGCGACACCCCCCCCCACTCAGATGATCCGGAGACTCTGATTTCGCGCTGTGTGAATGGGCTGCGCCGATCGGATCTAGATTGCGAGGGCCACCACAAAGGCACTGCCATAAGAAGATGCGATGTGAGCACATGTGGGCACAATGAAGAACTTATGCTTCAGAGATGAATACTGTTTGGTGTTCTTTGCAAAGGGGTGGGCAAATAGCAAGGGGACGGATAATGTAATCAGGAGACGCGCAAATGGCGTGAAAATCTAGGCAAGTCTTTGGCACCCCATGCATGCAAAGTCGCGAGTTAATCAGGACTTTTGGGGAGCATTTATTTTCCGCTAGACCCCACCACGGGGTGCCAGGCGACGCTTCGGAGCGGGAGAAGAAATCAAACGCATCAAAGAAAACAGCCTGCTATGCGGACGTAAACATGATCCCGTCACCGAGGTTTATCTTTCATTTGGCATCTTGCACAGCAACACAAGTAATTATAGCATTCAATAGTGCTATTTCCTAGATGCGATCTCCTTCACTCTTGGATTTGGGTGGTTGAGATTCCGGGAATCCTCCCCGAGTTCAACAACCACATGCGGAGAGACCAGACCACTATAGAGTCCATCCTCCAACAGACCAACGTTGGTCCTGGAAGCTCCGAACGCCCCTGGCCTTGGACAGTGCGGCCAGTCCGTAAAAAGGAACTCCGCACCTTGGGGGCATTGGAACATCAAATCAGAACATGTGGCAGCGGTTTTGACTGGTGAGGCACTGGTGGCCATAATACTTCCTGGATGAATCAAAATTGAATGTTATTATGGCATATTATGGCTGAGGGTATCCCGGAGAGTGAAGCATCCTGCAGAGCCCGTATTGTAATTGCTGGTGGCAAGGTTCTGCATGTTGGAGCTTCGACAAAACCTCGGACAGGAGCTGTGTAAAAGCTTCAAACGTAGAAGCATTGATCCATTGAATACTGCGGTGCAGATCGGTGCATTGGTCAGTTGATGAATAATACACCCCGACCGGAATGATTTTACATCTCACCGACTGGGTAGCTTGAACAGTCTATCGACCCGATTAATGCTTGTCATATCGACCTGAGGCGCGCCCAGCTAGCGCTGGCGGTGCGCCAGCTCTTGAGCGCCATGCGGCAGCTACCTGGTGCCGCTGCCCAGCTGCATGCTGCAGTGGAGCTTCAGCGAGACGACGGCCACCGCGATGGAGGAGAAGTTCAGTGGTTGGGCTGCCGTTGTTGTTGAACGTGGACACAAGGAACATGTTGTGCAAGAATAACTAAATATTTGAGAGTTTTGAGCCAGAGCTTCCAAAGCTTGGGCCTTTGGAGAGCATGATGGTCCTCCAGTTGGTGATTCCATCTCTGGAGAGCCCCCATTGGCGGCTTTCCTGGTAAAGAATGTGGCTGTCGCTCCATATCACCCAGCAAGGAAGAAAAGCAGTTCCCTTTTCTCCGACGTGTGAGTCAGTATCAGATCTTTATGATGGTCTTGATGGGGAGAGAACACAAACATCCGCATGCAACAGGCAACACTTCACATGTCCCTTCGATCCCCTTGAGACTTACAGCTGGTTGGCCCACAAGCGCCGGGGTTGAAGTTCTCCCTCCAAAGGCCGATCATGTTCTTCCCACTTCACTCGGCCTCACAGGGTCACGCCACGGAAGTGCCCATTGACACCACGCTTGCGCGGCGGTCAGTGTGAGAAATTGTCATGTCCATCTCGCTTTGGTCTACGACTCTACGAGTTCATGTTGAGCGATGGCAGGAGATGAGACCAATCCCAAGCAGTTTGCCCTTGGAGCTCGATTCTTGGTGTGAGAACGGCTCACCCAGCGGCACTTGTTTATTCACCTCATAGGTGACACGTGTTGTCTGCTTTCTGGAGCAGGCTCTTTCTCGAGCCAAAAGGTTGCTTTTCGAGCTCATGCAACAGCTGCAATAACAATAAATGATCATATATGATCGTTGTTGGATGTTGTTGGTACCTTTTTCTGAGCAACATGTGTTCAGACATGTATGTGTATGATAATGTATAATATATTTATTACTGTGTATTAGATATATATATATATATGTGTATATGTACTGTACATGTGTGTGTGGGTGTGCCCATTGCAAAGATCACAGGAGGCCTTCCAGATTTACTTCCACATGATTCCACACGTTTCTTACCACATGGTGTCATTCTGGAAATGCTAAGACTTACTATATAGTACATGTTGATTTTTCCCTTGACATTGTCCGGATTTGATGAGAAGTCCAATGGAATTGACATGGGCAATATCAAGTGAGTTCTCGTGATTTGCCGTTTCGCCCGTGGTTGATGATGGCGATTGTAAATGGGTTTCACATGGTTTCATCACGATCAACATGTCATTTCACCAGGCTTAATGCGCCGGGCGCTGATGCGAATTCTCTGGAAGCAAGGGGCCTCCTTCTTCCAGCGACTGATGGTCTTCAGGCCTGCTCCGCTCTGCGAGAGGATTTGCGGAGAGCTTTCCTCCATCCGCGGAGAAACCCCATGGAGAGCATTTCAAACTCATTTTTTGGGATGCCCATTCTTGTGGCTGATGCGCGGAGGGCGAGGGGGTCTTCACAGTGCCCAGAGTGGGCCAATTCCGAAGCTTGGTTGGGCTGTATATTTTGTTGAGTTCTGGCGGTGGTGGTGAAGCAGCAACTGGTAGCTGTGACTCATCACAGTACAGAAACCGCATGTATCAAAGGATATCAAAGAGGTCTCAGTGTCAGGGCACAGACGCACTTCTCGATGACGTCGATGGGTCTTCCCTTTGGTTAAGGTGTCGTTTGTCAGCCACCGGTCCAGAGGACTGCAACGGGATTTGGCTCAAGCCACCCGCATGGGTCCTGTGGCCGCCACGAAAAGCGTTGACTCATGATTGGGGTGTATCTGGTGTGAAACAAGTTGACAGAGCATGGCATAGGTTCACATCACACCGACAGAATTAGGTGTTGGCAAGGTTCACTGAACTGCATTAGCTAGGTGAGGTAAACCTTGCCATCGCAATGGTGGACTACTCTAAGTTCAGCAAGATCGAAGATAGCGACGATGAGCCTATTTGGCAGACTCAGGCGCTCCTGTTTGAGACATGTAGCATATGGACACGTATTTTCTTTGACATTTGACACCTGTTCAGGAGTACCAACTATAACTACTACTAGCCAGGCAACATGTTGTTCCTGTTGAACATGTAGTTCTAGCGTCGGCTTGTCATGTTTGCCGTTTAAAGTTTGCGCTCTTTCAATCCCTTCCACATGTCCAAAATCATACCTCATGTGAACCCTCCGACCGAATCGGACGGATGAAGACAGGCACCAGTGAAGAGCTCAAAGGTCTCAGAGAAGGTCCTGCAGGAATTGGACCTGAAGATCGAGAAGCTCCAAACACGAAGCCGTTTTTGCCATTGCTTCTGGGCGTTCGAACGCAGAATTGGGCGTTATATATTGGCGTGTGTGTTTTTTTTTTGTTCGTTCAATGGTTTGCTGGCATGCTTTTACAAAGGAGAATCTTGAGGTCAACAGGATCAGCAGCGTGCTACTATACAGGTGGTTCGGAAGAAAGGAGGTTGGATAGAGGCTCATGTCAACCAGGGTATCGGAAAGGAATTGTGACCCTGCTGCCTGCCAGCTAGATGCCAAGCTGTGAATTGCCCAGCTTGTTCAAGCATCCAACCGCTAAAGGCTTCCTGGACTTTGCAGTAGATGTAGAGAAGCTGAAGATCTATGCGCAGGAAATGGAAGATGCAGGCTGAGGATTTGTGGGAATTCATGTGCACATCATGGCATTTCTATAGAACTGACCTTTTGGCGGTGCCAAGCTCCCCTGCAGGTGCGAAGCTCCCGAAGTCTCGCTATTTGGGCCGTGTGGTGGTGGAATTAGACCAGGCAGCCTTCGCTCCCAAGCTGTGCGAGAACTTCCGCTTGCTGTGCACCGGGGAGCAAGGAGTCCTGGCCACCAAGACATCAAAAACTCAGTGATCCAGTTTTTGGCATTCAAGAACATTCAAGAACTCATGTTCTAGGGAGATTCAAGTTTTGTCATGTAATGCTTGGTTTCTGAATGTTTCTGACACATATTTCTGGGTGCCAACATGTTTGAGAGTTTGGTACGCCGATTGGTGAAATTGATTGTTGAATGGACATGCACAGGATAAATGGAGATTCGTTCTATCATGTATTCTATCCCAGAGCAGTCTCATGGATCAAACCAAGGAACTGGTGTCCGAGGGCAGCGACTGTCTTATCAGGGAAGGCATTTAGACTCTCAGCTTGGGAAGGGTGCCAAGAATGTGCAAGCCAAGAGTGCTGATAGCCTAGGATATTGAAGTGCAATTAAGAATAGCTACATGTATAACAAATATATTTATATATTTATGCATGATGTATATGCCAAACAAATGTAATTGCAACATATAGATGTATGATTTACTAGAGATTCTAACATATTCAAACTTGGTGGCCGAGATTCTTTGTCCTCTTTGACATGCATTTGCATCTCTTTCGGAGAGCCAAACTGCCTTACTTGGTGTTCATTATACCTTACTCAGTGTCCATTTTACACATGACTGTCCTCGCCGACTGTCCTCGCCTCCTTTAGTGTGCAAAGACTGTTTGCCTAAGGACTACATCCTGCCCAAGTACTGCATACAAGCATCTGTCCCGGACGAGTTCTCTTGTTGGGGCAGCTATTTGCCAGACGAGAACCTGGTTCTGCCTCAGGCTTCTTTCGACAAGCCTGGAGTTCTTGGACTGATTTATGTTTTTGTACGCTGAGCCCTCGCTGTCCAAAGGCTGTAAAACACATCAGTGATGTTGGGTAACTTTCCTCTATGCTTTCGATATCTTTCGGTCAGCAGCAGCTCGTCACTCGGTGGCTTCTCCCGTCGTTGGGACTCCTGAGGTGCTGGCCGTTGGAAACCATGGGCCCGATACCAACAGCTGTACCTTCATGATCACGCTGAATGAAGCCTCACACCTGGATGCTTCAAATGAAACAAGAAGGCTTATGGCTTATTGTTGCAAAAACATGTGCTTTGTTCTTCTTCTCCAGAGAGTCCAAGAGTTGGTTGTTTTTCGTTGATATTCCAAAGATTCCCAGCTCAGCACCCAGGATGGCTTCAATCAGATCATTGGCCACGTGGTGAGAGGCCTCGAGGTGCTGCGGATGATCGAGGGTTTCCCCACGGACCGGAAGGTGCAATCCTTTGCGGAGCGGAATGTGAAGTCCCACTGGGGGGGTCGGCCCATGGTGGATGTCATCATCGAGAGTTGTGGGGAGATGTCCGAGGAGCTGATTCCCGGAAGTGATGGGGGGTTGTGAGAGTTTGTTGGAAGGCAAGACATGGCAAGACTGGAAAGTACCCTTCATCCAACAAACATGGAAGTGGCCCCTTGGAAGACCGTTTTCCTCTACTATCAGTTTACCACTTGCATGATTGTTGGATGGAGGATAATTAGTTAATTAGATGTAATTGGCACCCGGAAATGTATCTCGTGTTGTGATTCTTCCATGTTCAGCCTTTTGGAGGATGCAAGAAGCGAGTGGGGCTCATGTTTTCGATCACACATTGCGTTTCGAGGCGGTCCTGAGAGGAAAAGCTGATACCTGCGTGTAGAGCTGGAACCAACAAGTCATGCATATTCTACTTCTGACCTCAGGAAATCCACAAACGGACAGCAAGTATAGGCACCCGGACAGCAAGTATAGGCACCCACCGGCTGGCAGAGTCTGGCCGTGTGGCGCCCCGCCCCCAAACCTGCCCATCTCGCCAGCAGCCCGTTGCGTGATGTAAGGATAGTGCTGAAGTGAGCCGAAGAAAAAGAGCACTGAGCCGAAGAACGTCAATTTTCTCCACAGCATCAAGGCAGACGTCAACGATGCGTCTGAAGGGTGAGGGTTGGCCTGTGGAGGGTTGGGTGATGGTTGCTGTGATTTAGATGCTGTAGCATGCGGGTGGATGGGACATGCATATGTCATATACGAATCATTATGTCATTATGAATCAATGAAACCCTCAACCCTGGCTTGGACCGTGATGTTATTCTTCCCCTGTGCACCTCCCAAGAGAGACCCAGAGGATTCCTGGAATCATTTCAAGTCATCGGGCTTTGCCAATGTTCATATGTAATTCGTGGAGTCACAGGGTACTTCATGAAACTGGAGCCCTGGTCCACCATGTCACGTACACGACCCTGTCACGCCGGTACCGGCCATGACTCACAGCCAAAAGATTTGATCATGTTGTTTCCATGGCATTCCTGGATCTCTCGGTATATCTCGGTACGACGCGAGCTATAGCGATCGTGTGGCACGCCTCGAAGACAGCGATCGAAAAGGAACCGCGGTGACATATTCGCTGGGAAAGGTGGGGTAAAAAGTGTTGAATGGAACTGCGGCCTTACATGATAGATGATACACTATATAGGGGTCATGCCACTCCGGTTTCAAAATGTTTGGCGTTGTTCGTTGTTGATGCAGCGGCCCGTGACTTGCTTCGATTAGCTGGTAGCATAGGTTTGAGGTGAGAAGTGACCGCTGATAGCAAATTCACTCACCATGAGCCTTCCCAAAGCCCAACAAACAGATCCAAACTGCCAGCCCGGTGAATTCAGATGCTGTGAATGTGCATGTTTCGGACTTCCCAATCTTCCCAAGTAGCCGCCAAGTATGGAAAGGTATGAGCTCGAAGGACATGCTTATATATACTTCAAGAACCCTAAAGTTTACGCTTCTTACTCTGTTCCAACATGACACTTGCGGTCTACAGCGGATCGGATTAACACGTCCATTTTGCGTGGCAGGTACAGCACGGTCAGATTTCCACACCCGTTTAAAATTAGAATATTTATAAGGCTTTCAGGTGTGGAAATCCGACCGCAACTGAGGTGTCGACATGTTGCACGTAGGATTCTAAGGGCAAAGGGTTTGTGATGTTTTAGAAGTCAAGAAGCGCAACTTTTGGCACCCCAGTGCGTTATTACTAGGTATT